CTGGTTTGAGGGTAGGGACAAAATAAATTGATTTTTTTCAACAAAAAAATAATTGTAATTTGAAGTTGGAAGAGAGTTTTGGAAAATGTTTTCCTTAAGTTTCGAAGGAAAGTCATTTTCCTTAAATTTGAGGAAAATGAGTTGATTTGGAAAACATTTAACCCAACCAAACATGAGAAAATTGGAAAACATCCTTCATACCAAACACACCCTGAATATGTTATCACTATTGACGAACAAAGCTTCAAGCTTTAAAGTGGGTTCGACAATTAAACCAAATATTTCGAAGTCAAATCGACTTTTTATTGTTGAAAGGGGTTGAAAAAAATTTGAAGTAGATTTTGATGAATTGAAATTGATTTTGAAGGGTTATTTCATTTTGAGAATGCTAGGTGGGTTTAAAATAAAATAAAGGGTTTTTTTATTTTATTTTGGGTAAAAAATAAATAAAAATTGAGTAAGGTATCGAAATAAAGTCATGTGTCCATCCGTTAGGGGTATATTTATCCTAGATTTAGGTGTGATAGCTATCATTTAAATTGTATTTGTCAAACTAGTCCCCCCAACCCCACCCCACCCACCACACCCCAAAAGATAAAAACGTGAATAATGTGTTGTACTAAACAAAAATATCATTAAAGGTTAAGATAGAAATATAAGTTTCTATAATCAAAGGGATCACTAGTGTTTCTCCGTCTTTAATTAGAGGTTTGAAAATAAATATGTTAGATGGTCACATATGTTTGAGAATGTGTTATAATAACACTTCTGTTTCTTTTAGGATCACAATATCACCCAACTATTCCTATTTTCTTTAGAATATACTCCTCTCTTCTAATGGGATGACATTTCATATTATTATTATTATTATTCTTAACAAAAAGCTTTTTAACAATACAATAAAAAAGTGTCTTTATATGCAACTTTTTTTGGATATTAATTGAAACATTTACCCATTCTTGTATTTTAAAACGGTAATCAAATTGCAAAAATATATATAAAAAAAAAACAAATATTAGTTAATTTTAATTTAAAATTTGATTACCTTTTATAAAATTCAAGAATAGGTAAATATTTCAATTGAATGCCTAAAAAAGTTGTTTATAGAAACATTAAACAACTTTTTATTGTATTGTTAAAATCTTCTTATATTTTAAAAGAAGAATAATGTGACATGACATATCACTAGGAGAGATGAGTATATTTTGATGAAAATAGAATTTGATGATATTGTGGTCTTAAAGAAATAAATATGATATTATTGGGAAAATTTTCAAACATGAGTGATTATCTAAAAAATTTACTCGAAGTTTTAAGTTTGAGCCTTGAATATAAAAAACTTCTCAATATATTTACTTTTAGAATTTCAAACTACTTTAATGAATTTTCCTTCTTTTTTTAAAAAAAAAAAACTCGACATGATGCTCCAACCTTTATATTTCCAATTTCTAAGGAGGAAAATGATCTCCTAAGTGCACTTACAATTTGAATGAAAAGATTGTGCTTACAAAGATCTCCAACATTTATTTTATGAATTTATTGATCTTCTATGTTTTCCTATAAAAGATCTCTTGTAAAAATTCATATAATTAGAAAATATTTATAATCGACTATAAAATCAAATTTCCTGTTTCATTCTTGTCGAATTCATAAATTACAAAATAGTGGTATCAATGGATGTCCCTCACCTATACTACATGGAAATTTAATTTTCCCTATCCCCTTTACATTTCGTGTATAAATTAAAAATAATAGGTTTATCCTAATTTGTGGCTTTAAAGGAAAAGGCCATGTTGTCCCTTATCATCAAATTGTACAACATGTGGTTAATAGACACCACTAGTATGTAGAGTACCCACAACAATGAAGGCAACCTCTGCCTATAAAAAAAAATTACAATAAAAATAATAATTTATTTAACTCTTAAACTTAGAAAATCATCAAATAAATTGAGATGGGAGAGTAAAATAATATTTGGTTGGCATTTGGCAAAGGAAACAAATTTATCGAGGTTGCATTGAGCTTAAATTTTGCGGCATTAGATTTCGTATTGTCTTATGAGGAAACGAATTCCTTATGAATCAAACTTTTTTTTTTACGTAGTTTTAAAAATATATGAATTTTATTTTTTTAAAATTAAAAATCTATATCCAAATGATGCCACATAAACGCATAGAGATGAACTAAATATTTTTTACCTGTAAATTAGCATACAAAAATCATAAAACATGAAAATCAAGTAAAACGAAGCTTTCTATATTCCTTTGCGCAAGAATATTAAGAATTTATATAATCGATCACGATTTGAGAACTAGTTTGTGTAATTACTACTTCTCTATTTCTTTTTTTCTTCTTGTTATTTTGCCAATCTGTATTTGTTCATTTTTATTGTTCGATATTCTGATAAGATACATCCTTAAAGTATTGGGTTCATGTGAATTCAAAAACCAATCATTATGTACCTCTCTCTTCGAGACTTTACTTTCTTTGAAACTACACGTGAATTCAATTTTCACTGTCCTCCTCAAAACATAATACTACTTATTTCCTTATCTCCTTATCTTCAAATTGTTCAACATGTGGTTGTTAGACACCACTAGTATGTAGTACCTCACAACAATGAAGGCAACCTCTGCCTATAAATTTATGTGATGCACTCATACAAATTCAGTCAATTCCTTCTACTCTTTCAACTAAAAGAAAATGGAGTCAAAGTTTGCTCACATCATTGTTTTCTTTCTTCTTGCATTTTGTTAGTACCCCCTCCCTCCCCCTCTCTCTCTCTTTATATATATACACACACTTGCATGATCATTATTAGAGTTGTAAATGATTTATATTTCATTTGCGGTGTGGGTGGGTG